TGGATGTAAGATGAAATGCTGAATTTGAGTTAGAGTTACGGAAAACAACTGTGTGACTACTTTTTGCCAAAGTTCTAAATTATATATATGTATTGCTAAAATGCTGTAGGTATATTCACAAAATGCTATGCCTTGGGTAGTTTTTATTTACAGTATCCTGGCACCACATTAATTATTACAGTTTTATATATGTTTAAAACAGAATAATATTTTTTATATTTCTTTTATTTAAAAAAACCAACCACCACCTGAAAAAAACCCAAATGCAAACACACAAAAAAACCCAACAAAACAAAACAACAAAACAAAAAACAAATAACCAAACCCCCACTTTATTTCATAACTTTCAAAATTATATCTTTCAAGAAGAGGAGGAGAAGGGAAAGAAGAAAAGCCACAATTGATGTTCTTTGCAAAGGAAGTACTTATGAAATCCCCATATTCTGTGAAGTACATTAAATACTCTACACAAGATATCACTATGAGGAGAATCTGAAGTTCTATTGGTTATGTTATTTGTTATATTTATTGTGTTGACTAGCCAGTGACTCTGAGGGTTCAGCTAATCAAGCCGACTGTATGCTTTCAGAGCATGTGTCTAAAGAGGGAAAAGTGAGTGTTTAACCCTCATTCTGTATGGAGATACAATTTATGTACACAGCAAAAACCTTGCCCCAGGGACTTTGAGCAGAAGGGAGGGACAGAGACTGAAGGTAGTCAGCGACTGAAAGCTGAGGTGCACTGTAGTGCATTAGTTGGTTTAGATAAAGCCTGAGAAACTCTAGGAAATCTGTGCAGACCTCAGTCTCCAGTGCTCATATAATCAATAATTGTGTTTGGTTTTCTTGTGACTGTCCATGACCCGTACAAGCAGGTCAAAAAAACTTGAAATCACTTAAGAGCTTTCTATTCCACCCTGGAGCAAAGAGGACTTTCAAGCCATGTCTCATTTCCCCAGCAGGTACAGAATTAGTATAGAGCTACCAACATACTCATCTGCTTAAGCTGAGAAAGTGCTAACTTCCAGATCCCGGAAACCATCAGGCTAGCCCTAAAGGCCTGATTCATGGGCTATTTAAGTGTCTCTAAGTGTGGCTTGGGGCATAGATTTGTAATCAAGTACAAGCAGTGTTTCTAGTTGATGCACATCCATGTTAACTTCAATTTTCATTTACTTCAAAGGCCATAAATATCTCATTAGCCTCAAATTATACTCCTCTGCCAATAAAGAAGTCATGTATGAATGTATGTGATTTCAGATCTTCTTTAACTTCTCTCTGTGTGTTGTGTTGCCAGGAGTTGAAATTTTAACTGAATATTTTGATTTGGATTGATTAATTTTGATTGTTTGAATGGGTGAGGCTTCCAACTGGAAGTTTTTGCAAGCAAGTTTATGCATATTTTTCTAACACTTGAAGCAGTAAAAAAAAGAACAGAAAACTATGACACTAATAGTGATAATAAATAAAGACATGACAAGTACATTTCTTCCTGTAGGATCAGTATGTAAAAGTGTATTAAATAGCTGACTGGATACATACAGATGTGCATCAAACTGGTTTTGATATACTGCCTAAAACCATTCTAAAATATGTACAGTTTTATATTTTGGATTAATCTCTAATTGCTATCTGTGACTTTCTACAGCTCCCAACCTTTTTAATTATGCACATAGCAAAATCAGCTGGTTTATTAATGTATAACTAGCATGCTTTCTTCTTTATCTCTCGATATTTTTATGAAAATTATTCCATGTATCTTTCTCTGCATATGAATGTGTATGTATTTCATTTGTGAAACTAACATGAAAATGATAATTTCTCTAGTAATAAGTCAATAAACTGAAAAGTGGGGTATTTTCTCCCTAATACTGTCTTCACAAAGCAGTTTTCTTCATGAGGCTTCTGTTTAAAGTCTTATTCTAAACAGAGATCATAGATAATTTATTACTTATATGAAATTTTGGAAGAGACCTGTTTAATAAGAAATTATTAAAAACATTGATTGCTTCTGTTTCCTTTTAACTGGCTAACAACAATAACTTTTAATAACAAGAACATGTTACAGTAAATAGTGGTTTTATTCTGACTTGACTTATAATTGCTCTTGTATGGTATATCCCTTGCCTGTGTTAGTGCACTTGTCACTATTTGCTGTTTGTTTATGCTTTTGCACTGGTTGGCAAAGGCTGCAGGTCCATTGTAGGTCAGAGAGTGGGGCTGAGAGCGCTGACTATATTCTGTGTGTTAGCCCATTGTTTGTTTCCGTATGGATTTTAGGAAACAATTCCTTACGGAAAAGTCCAGTTCATAAAATCTAAATGTCTATGTGTGAATAAATCAGAAATGCAAACTTTGCATGTTTCTGTTGAGGTAGAGGGGAAAATAACATATGTTGTATGAGTGTGTTTAATACCCACAAAACTAACTTTTGTTGGTCTTATTTACTAGATAAGGAATGAGATAGCAAATTCAGCCAGGCCAGTAATTAATATTTCCCTTTTCTTGTCCTTTCACCCTACTCAAAATAACAGCATATAACCAGATATCTGATCCAAAGATACCCTGTAATTAGTATAGATAAATATTATTTATGAAGTCACATTGTATCAACTGAGGCTTTCCACTCTCCTTCATGTTAGTATTTTTCATTCTCTCCATGCTGGTAATTTGTTCACTCTTGTTCATTTGTCATTCCCATTTGCTTTTCTTGTTTTGTTTCTTCGTTTTCATTTGCTGTTTGCCCAGAGAAGTTTTTTCTTTATCCATTTTTCATCATCTGGATGTCAATGTCTTTCCTTTCACCTTTCAAATTTTCTCAGTGCTTTATTCTACGTTTTTTCTCATAATTTCATTACACACTTCTGCAGTGTGGGTATCAAGGGAATAGAATCTATTGCTCCTCCCTGAGCTTAGATTAAATCCTCCATTGGGTACAAATGGAAAAATCTGCTTTGTGCTGTATGGTCAGAAAAGTGTACCAAAGCCAGGATGGGAGACAGCATGAGGGAACAGTACCCAAAATCAATTGCCTGCTGCTGACTTATGTTGTTACAGATGGCAGCAGAAATCAGATGGGAAGGCAGTGCTTGAGGAGGAATTTTGGATGACTGGTAGCCAGCTGACCACCCTGAGTGGTAGGGAGCAGCCAGAGTGGGTCTTCCCCACGGGGGAGGATGGGCCAGGAGCTGCAGGCACTGCATTGCTGATGGGACATCGTCCTAAAGTACCCCATCAAGGCTGGCTGTGGACAGGGACAGGACCCTGCCACGTCCCAACAATTATCAGGACAGGCAGGGTGAGGACTCAGGTCCAAGGTCGACCTGGGGTCCAGACAGGGCAAGATCCAGGCTGGGCATGGGGATGGGCATGAGGCTGCCTGGAGCATATCTCAGGCAGGGAGTGATGTCCATGGTGGTGCCCTTCAGGACATGACATTTAGAGCTGTTACTGCTTCGTCCTTCAGAAATTATGCTTAGATTACAAGTCTTTCAGAGACAGTATTTGAGCCTATTAACTACCAGTGAAAACGTCAATAGAAATTTTGGTTCACCACAAATATGTATCTGAAATTTTTCTGGCCTGAGGTGTTCAAGTGTTTAAAAAACTATGTGGTACAAGTGCTAAAATGAAGTCATTGAAGAATTCCAGGGGTTTTGAAAGAACAAAATTACTTTCTTTCAAATCCCTTTCTTGTCTAAAATAATCATCATAGATGTCTCCTGTGGTTATTTTTGGGTTGTTTGGAGGATTTCTGTCGGTTTGGTTTGGATTTTTTTTTTGTTTTGCCTTTTTTTTTTTGTGTGTGTGTAATTTGACATCACTGTCAATAGCTACTTCCCTTGCTTTTTTCTGCACTTGAAAACTGATTTTAGATCTTTATGAGACAGTGTCCTGACTTTGTGGTACACTTATATAAGCTTTATATATAAGCTTGTGTTCATCCTATCAAATGTAAAGCATGAATATCAGTTTCCTATATCAAGGATTTTTTTAGTTGTTATCTGAGGGTTTGAATTGGATAATGGGTAAAAAGAAATGTCATTTCTTTGGGCAGGGAGGAGAATGTAAGTATTATCAAGTACCATGTGTTTATTTATGCTACCTGTAATGGTTGCATATGTATGTGACTTGTATGTCATTAAAAATTAACAGAATTATTGTATGAATTGCCCTCTACAAATTAAAAGTTGGGCCATGCAAGAAGGTAATACTACATAGTTGTAACTCTATGTAGATCAAAATTTGACTTTTGAGAGATTGTATCATGCTTTTTTTTTTCCAGTTTCCATTGATCCTTTTTGTCAGACAGAACAAAGAAAACAGATATGAAAACCATATCTGTTTGAAACTTAGGAAAACTAACTGTTCTCACACTTGATTTGAACTAATGTGATGCTATTACATTAACTGGAATTTCCAAATTAGATGGAGGTAGATTAGGTTGTCATACTGAATAGCAGGCATACCTGTGAAAAATACTGTACAGAAGTCATATCATAACAAAGAAATTATCCAGTGCAGCAAACATTTAATGAATATTTCCTGTGGGAGCACAGATATGCTTAAAAAGGAGATGCTGTTTATTTGGGGCAGAAAATTGCCTGGAGCTAGCACTTAAATGTGATACCTTCCTGAAAGCAGCAATGTTTGGGCTGTGGTTTGGTTTGAAAGCATATACAGAAGCAGAAATACTTGGTTTGTGGTATAACCTCTGACAAGCTTGTGGCTTCAATTTGGCTTGTGGCTCTCTTACCTTATGTATCTTTAGAAACACATAGCTAACCACAGTGCCTAACATCTCTGGACCTTGGAATGGAAGTAGTGTGTGAATTTAATTGTTTGGTTTGGGTTGGGGTTTTTTTGTTGGTTTTTTGTTTGTTTGGTTGGTTTGGGTTTTTGGGGGTTTTTTTTAATTATTTTTTTTAATTTTATTTTATTTATTTATGCCCATATGAATGTGTCTGTTGATTTGAATTGCTTATTTTCTCTTGGCCACAGGCTGACTGAGTGGGCTGGACTTCACTGGAATAAAACCATTTCGCTGGTGACGTGGAATAACTGTGGATCTCTCCCCACGCTATTTGCTGGGAAGTGCTGCACATTGCCAGGATTAAGCCAACGCTGAAATCTGGGATGGGCCTTAGGGGCAAACACTCCCTTCTTTCTTCTGACATTGGGATTTGTCTACGGCCAGTCAGCTGAGGCACCTACTACACAGCAGCTTTTGGTTTTTCACTGCCTGAACAAGGTTACGTTTTCCCTCACTTCATCTCCCTTTGACAACTTTTTTATTTTGTTAGTTTTCATTTTCCTTGACTGATTAATTTTCTCCTGGCTGTGGAAAAAAGAGCCCTGCTGATGTTGATTTAAATAATGTCGAAACCAATGGGACTCCTATGGCTGCCTTTGATCTTCACCCCAGTGTGTGTCATGTTGAATTCTAACTTCCTCCTGTGGATAACTGCACTGGCTATAAGATTTACTCTCATCGATGGCCAAGCGCAATACCCAGTCGTTACCACAAATTATGGCAAAATACGTGGTTTAAGAACACCTTTGCCTAATGAGATCCTTGGTCCAGTGGAGCAGTACCTGGGTGTTCCTTATGCCTCTCCTCCGACCGGAGAAAGGCGATTTCAGCCCCCCGAGCCACCATCATCTTGGACGGGTGTCCGCAACGCCACACAGTTTGCTGCCGTCTGCCCTCAGTACCTGGATGAGAGGTCACTGCTCAATGACATGCTACCAGTCTGGTTTACAGCCAATCTGGATACTGTGGTGACATATGTTCAAGATCAAAATGAAGACTGTCTGTATTTGAATATCTATGTGCCGACAGAGGACGGTAAGTACTCTAAGGACCACACTACAGTACACTCACCAGTTCTGCACGGGAATAGTAGCCAGGTCTTCAAAGCATCTTGTTCAGTTTCCTCCATGTTTTATCTGTGGAAATGGATCACACCTCTGAACATGCATTATAAATAGTACTTTGTAGACAGAACGTGCTTGCATTAGTTCTCTTTCATGTTTCATTCTAACACCAAACCACAATTTCCTTTGCAGGCAAATGCCAGGGTGTGTAAACCTGCCTTAAGTTTACATATGAACTACAGCTGAGCATCACTGACAAGAGAGGAAAGGGGAAATAAACATTACCCAGAAGTAATGCATTTATTTTCCCATGTATGTATGGTACAAATACTGCCACATACTAATTTTTAAAGAAAAATTTTCCTTTTTTTTTCCTTTAGTTTTATTATAACACCTCTGAGTCTACTGCTACCTCTTCTTGATTTTTATCAATAATAGAAAATTGTTATAGAAGTTCAGTCTGCAGTTTTTTCCCAGTGAAACTTTTCAGTCCAACTTATTTTTCTTCATTCACTAAATTTGGAATGAAGTAAACATGATTTTGTTATGCAGAGCTGAACAGATGGCCTTAAACTTTCATCTGTTTTCTGCAATCCTTTTTCAAGAGGGACACTTTAAAGTACCTTCTATAGACAGAAAAGATAAACACAATTGGTAGCACACAAATCTTTGAATGTCTTCATGATCTCAATCTTGAAATTCTAGCCTTATGGAATTCTGAATGTATTTTTTTTCATTCTCAGTGGTATTGCTTCCTGTAGACAAGAAGACTTGTTTTCTTCAGGCCCCAAATGAGTTAAGTTCATTCTCTATCACAAGGAAATAAAAAATTCTACTGGCAATTATATTTAATATTCTCCTAAAAGCCAGTTCTTTCAGCCACTTAGAATGTAGTTACCAATGCATAACGTGACGGATTTCTCCCAGATATGCAAATCCCTTCACTTTCGCTGAGGATTTGATTTGCATAACCAAGGCATTGTTATTTCTCAGTAACCATACTCTAAATATGCAAATTTTGTACTTTGATTATTATAATCCTTCTGCCTTGATTGGTTTCTTTACTTAGAATTTCCAAGCTGTTTGCCAGCAATAAGCATACCACCTTCTTTTCCTTTTCTCATCAGCTGAAGCAAAAACTTGAAAGCTAAAAATAAAGGGGTAAGGTTTGGGAATACTGGGAGCTCTGAAAACATAAATACTACCAAGCTGCTTAAATGAAATGTGCTCTGAAAGAAAAGCTGTGTGTATGGGGGCACTGTGTGCGCATGTGTGTGTGTGTGTGTGCGTGCGTGACTGTAGATGAAGGAGCGGATGTTTCCATTCAGATCTTTCCCTCTTCCAGTCCCATTGCACTACATCTCACTCCTTGGATAATAACATAGATAATTCTTTCTCAAATTTGTGTTCTGGATTTTATCCTGTAGCTTTTAATTACTCACTAGGGTAAGCTTGCCCTAAGAAAGCATTTCAGGTTAAGATTTTATTTGTTCTCACTGAAGGAGTATCAGCTCTGCTAAGTCAGTCTTATTTTAATGCCCAATATTGATAAATTCATATATTCCTCCAACCTAGTAGTATGAAGTTTCATCCATTAATTAAGGAAGACAGGAAATTAGACACAGAAAAATATATACAAATGTCTAGGAGAAGAATATCTGATATCAAATGGATAATAATAAAATGCCATGTGCTGAATGACTAACAACCTATAAAATTCATCATCTTGCATGTAATAGCTAATGGCAGTTATTGTCCAATTAAAAATAGGAAGGCTGGTAAATTCAGTTTTATCTGTTGTAGACCTTTTACCCACTTAATTCCACAAAAATTGTATCTCTTCTTCCTCATTTTAGATTACTTTTTTACACCAAATAGCATGTAAATGGAATCCGTTTTCTTTTATAGATCCTATGTATCGTCTTCAGAATACAAACCCGTGCATAAAAGAGTGTAGCTGAATAATGAGAGACAAGGTTTGGTGTCAGTGATGAACTGAAGCCAAGATTGTTCCCTTATAATACGACAAGCATTTTTAACAGCTTCCAATGGGGAATAAGAAACTTGAAAATGAATAAGTGGAGTACATGATGTTTGAATTGTATGCTGTATACCTTATCACTAGTTAAATGTAACTTAGTGTGGCTTTTTTTGGTGAGGAAAATATGCAACTTTTTGCTCAGGAAGATGATTAAGGAAAACTGACCTACAAATCACATCTACTAAGTTAGTGTGTCTCCAAATCATACTAAACATAAATAGCCTTGAAATGTTGCACAAACAATCTGATTAAAAACATTATGTTTCATTACATGAGTCTTAGTTGGCAAAAATAAGCTACATTGTTATGGTGAAGCAAGATCTCTAAGTGAGTGAGTTAAATTCACATTTTCAGTTCTTTCTCAAGTACAGACTTATTTAAAAGAGCCTTGATACTATTTGTGTCTGGAAAAAAAGGTGCATGGAATAATCCAAACCTAATTAATATTCTCACTATGAAACATTATATAAATAATTTTCTGCTTTTTTTTTTTTAAACTTTCGTGAGAAGAATTGATGAACAACTCTTAAGGAATTAACAGTGGTCACATGTAGTGCTTGCTTCTAACCAATTTTAGTGAATAACTCATGAAAATGCAATTCAGATTTGATGGGGTTTTTGTTTTATTTTGTTGGGTTTCTTTTTTTTTTTTGGTACATATATAGCATCTACTATATATGTTTCTTATCACTTAACATGGTTTTGTTCATGTACTTTGAATAAAGAATTGAATCATAAATGCACACATGCATTTATCTGATTTCAGAATTACTTCACTGGAATTCTGACAGTATAAGCTAATGGAAATAAAAGTAGAATACAGTCCCTTTAACTGGGTACATAAAATTAGTTATTTTAAAAAAATTGCTTGAAGTGTTGCTGCTTTAGTCTGAAGAAATACAATGAAATTAAATAACATAAAATTATATAGTTCCTTAGTTGGAGCATCTATGTAAAGAAATTAAATGGCCCGTTAAACAGTTTCTATCTATATTAATCATAAATTGACTTGTAAGATTCTGGATTTCAAATGTCAAATAGCAGCAGAATTCTGTTAGAATTTTCCATGTTATAGTATTTTTGCAATACAAAAAGTATCTCTGTTTAGGAGCTTTTTTTTTTTTCATTTTAGGTGAAATTCTTACTTATGATAGAAAACAAAACACATACCTAATAGAATATTTCTGCAATTCTGTCCATGTGGATTTTTATTCTTTTGCTGTTGATCACTGGACAAATGGTTTGTACTGATACTTTACTTAGAGTAACACTTATGTTTCAGAGAATCTAGGGTACCTGGAGAACTTCAATGTTTGTTTTCCTTTGTCTTTGGAAGGTAAAGAATTGCAACCACTATAATCCACTGAGATTTTTGGGGTATAAATAGTTTTTTTGCAGTATAAATAATACTGCACTTATTTTAAAGATACACAGTACAAGCAATAAAGACAAAATTTAGTAAACAGCTTTTATTTTATATGTCAAATCTATAGTCATTAGAAATCAGAACTTAAACAAATAAAATATTTATAGTAAAATTATAATTTTATCCAAATTGCTTTCTAAATATTTGTCTTGATCTTCAGAATCATTTGTGTGGGTATATGTTATCTTGTCTGCCTTTCCAGTTACTAGAAACTGTAATTTTCCAGAGAATACTTGAATGTCAGTTTTGAGGAGGTCATCTAGGGAGATGATATTGAGGACAGTCTGTTTATTATAACTTCAGTCTGAATATGGGTTTATCTACAGTGGAAATGCTAGATTGAAGAGGACACAGACTGTTAATCGGCTGTGCTTAATCCTGGGCCTTTATCATTTGAATCTCTGGATGCTGAAGGAGATTGCTACCTCCTATCATAACTGGGAAAAAAAAACCCAAACAAAACTGAAACCAAATACCAACAGAAAATACTATTATTTTGAATTTCTTTCATGATAAACTTCAAATTGTATTAATAGCAAGGCAAGATAAAACAAACAAAAAGAAAAACATGAACAAATAATTTTTTTTTGTTTAAAACCTGCTCTGTCCAGATCAAAACAGAAAGTAAAATAAAAAAGATGACTTTTTGTAGTCCTTGCATGATCAATAGTAAGCATATATATGTGACTTATTTTGATATATGGATAGAACGTACATTTTACATGAGTGGGTAGCTACTCAACAACTATACATCAGGGATTAATGAAGGTTTTAGCATCCTCAGAGGTTTACTCACTGAAGATGCTCTGTGAACTCTTTGTGTCTTTTACATCACATTAAATACAGTTGATGTGACAACAAAAGGTGGTAGGCTGTGATACTTATTAAGGCTGAATGGAAAGGTCATCGTTTCTTTCATTAGATTAGGGAAACTGAGAACATTGTCCAGGATTAGTGGTATATTTAACTGTGGTCTACGAGGAAGAGCAAAGAGATCAATAGCATTCCTTCTCTGGGCAGTGATGAGGACGAAATGCACCTGGGTCTTTAGACTGTGAGTCTATTTGACTAAGATAAAGAAATTAAAAACCTAAACAAAGCGATAAAGAAGATATGCCTTAGGTGGTTTCTATGGCTTGCATATTGCACCCACTTTTTCATGTCAAATTTTTCATGTCAAATGTCTGCTTAGTATATGACTCAGCATTTTCAGCCTTCACCTTGCCGTTGCTGTTGAATTGCAGTGTCTGTTGGAAAGTCTTTTTGTCAAAATTATACTGGCAAAACTTAATCAATAAAAAAATTAATTTTTCCCTTTTTTGGGGAGGGAGAAAAAGACAGTAGAAAGATGAATCCTACCTTTACAATTATTTGAGGGGATGGAATAAAAAAAAATAAGCTATTCAATGGCTCCTTTATTTATATGATAAATAAGGGTCCATATATAAAAACAGTAACATAGTGTACAAGGTAGGTACAATATTGTACGAGATCATTTTGTTAA